TGGTCTTTCTTCCTTGAGCCTTGAAAGGCGGGATGTAATACAGATGTCAGGTTCGTGGCTGAGTATCCCACAGATACTGGCTTCACTTCGATCAGTTGTGAGTTTGCATTCATCGCATCCACTGCCCAAAGAAACGCCCCTGAGAGATCTGAGAGCTGCACTAACCAACGGGTGTAGAGATGTGAGTTTAGAGGACGGTTTGATGCTATGTCCAGTCAACAAAATAAAATAGTAGCAGTAAAGTTGGGGAGGACCAGAGTGACACAGCGTCCTGGACATGACAGGAGTCTGCAGCTGAAAGCTCACAGCAGCTGTGGTTACCTGCACAGCTTCATCACCAGTTTCCACCAAAATAAAGAGAAAAGAATTTTATACTAACGGTTCCCTAATAAACTTTTCCAAATAATTGATGACAAAGAGAAGGTCTCAAAAGGATTCTAAAGCATGTGGGAATAGTAGGCTGTTTAGTCTTTACTAGCTGTCTTTTTTTTTTTTTTTTCCTGTTGGTCCATTGAGTTTAATTGTGTTTACTTGCACAAGCGTGAGGAGGGGGTTATTTACTGGAACACAGGCAACTTGAAAATGTGCAAAACTCAGTATATACATGTATGGAATTGTCAAAGAATTTTAAGAGGATTAAAAAAAAACAGAAACCGAGACACTTGAATAAAAATTGAAAATGTTAATTCTTAGGTATATTACCTAAAGTATAAGAAGAAAATTTGATTTTATATTTTTCCTGTAATTTCAATATCTTTACATTTTTTTTTACATTTATTTGTTTATGTGTGGGGGCATGCCATGGCTCATATGTGGAGTTCAGAGTATAGCTTGCAGAAATTGGTTCCACCATGTGAGTTTTGATGATCGAACTCTGGTCATCAGGCTTGGTAGAAAGCACCTTTACCTGCTGAACCATCTCACCAGCCCTAAATTGGATATCCTATAAAACATTTTGCTGTCGATACACAATTCCATAACAATCATACATGCAACTTCTACTTAAAGAATCACAATGAGGGCTGGAGAGTTGGCTCAGCATTTAAAAGCACTCTTGTAAAGCACGCAAGTTCAATTCCTAGCATCCACATAACAGCTAACAACTGTCTATAATTCCAGTTCCAGGGGAATCTGACATCATTTTCTGACCTCCACGGGCATTGCACAACACGGGTGCACTTACATACATCCAGGTAATACAATTATACACATAAAATAAAAATAAATATAATTTTACAAAAGAATCACAACGAGTTTACTGTTGCTTACACACACACACACACACACACACCTAATAAAATAATGCAACTCTGGGTTGGGGGAATCTTCATTGGACTTTCCTATTCTTCTAAGGTCCCTTCTTGCCATCCTGACACCAGAGAATCCTGCCCTGGTTCTTCCAACCTACAGCTATAGCTACTAGTCTACTTCCTACGCACACTTCCTGTTCTACCTGTCCTCCCTCTTCCGGCTCCTCCCTCCCACTCCCTCCCTAGGTTGTCAACAAGTTCCTCTCCTTGGCAACTGCACCGAGGTTCCACGCTCTCTCTGGAACCTCCTCCACAGCTGAAACCTCAACCTGAGAAGTTCTAAAATTGATTAGAAGTGTTTTCCAGGGATGGGGACTGGGCAGGGCGAGGGGGCGGGATTCCTTAGCGGTAGAACACCTGCTTAGCATGTTCAAAATCCTGGATTCAATTTCCAGCACCAAAACCAAAAATAAACTTCCAAATAACTGTTCCTTTATAAAATAAATTTGGGGGCCATGTTAAGGTGACAAAATTATTTCCTGATGGATTATAATGTGCCTGGGCTATACATTCAATAAACAAGCTTCCAAGCCCTCCTCTTGTTCTTCATTTCTGCAATCCACTGTTAAGCTACAATAATTACCTGACCACTTTGACTGTGTTATTTCTGCACCCTTCCACATTACTTTTGTTAGTGGAGAGGGCATCTTCAAATGAATTTTTGTAGTCTGTGTTTTTCCCATTAGCTGTAGGTTTTTAGGCTTATTGTCTGATGCTAAATACTGACTATCATATACTGATTTGTGATCTTGTGCAAAATATTTAAACATCTCTGGCCTCAGCTCATAGGCTTTCTGAGACAATTTAATTTGTTCATATAAAGTGCTTGGTAAGAGCTAAATAAATGTTAGATGCTACTTTTCTTCTTAGCAATTACAGATTATGTGGCTGGAGAGGTGGCACAGTGGTTAAGAGCTTTACTGCTCTTGCAGAGGACCCACATTCAGTTCCCAGTACCCACATCAAGAGTCTCACAACTGCCTGTGGCTCCAGTCCCACAGGATCTGATGCTCTCTTTTGGCCTCCACAGGTACCTGTGGTTCACATAAACTCATGCAGGCCTACATACACATAAATAAATAAAAGTAAATAAGTCTTTTTAAAGATGTGGACAGCCGGATGTGGTTGCACATGCCTGTAGTCCCAGCACTTGGGAGGCAGAGGCAAGCAGGTCTCTATGAGTTCAAGGCCAGCCTGGTCTACATAGTGAGTTCCAGGAGAGCTGGGGCTACAGGGAGACCCTGTCTCAAAAAGACAAAAAAAAAAAAATGGGGACCAACGATGGAGCTCAGTTGACAGAGTACTAGCCTAGCATGTGCAAAGCTCTGGATTTGATCCCCCAGCACCACATAAACCCAGCATGGTGGTACATTCCTATATGCTAGCACTTGGGAGGTGGAGGCAGGAGGATCAGAAGTTCATGTTGACTACACAGTGAGATCGAGCCAGCCTGGGCTACGTGAGAGCATCCATATGAAGACAAGAAGTTCAACCTTTGTCTTTTTATGAAGCCAGTTTTGAGCTATAGATTAGACTCCATTTGATATCCTGATGTGGCAGGGTCAAAGCTCAACTTGCTGGTAGCCTTGGCCACATAAGATGACAAGGAACTCCCTTAGTTGGGGCCCACATTCAGAGATGGAGAGGAGTGTAGGGACTTAATGAGACTACAATTCAATCCAGAGGAGAGACACCAATTGACTTGAAAGTAGCTCATTTCCAGACCACAAGATTCAGCTGTCAATCCTGGAGGATCCCCAGACTGGCTAACACCCTGATGACCCAGCTTCTACTAAATCTATCCTAAGTCTGATGGGAACATCTCAGAGGCTCTTGACATTTCAGAAGAGGATGGGAAAAACTGAAAGCCTACTAGAGACAGGCAAAGTTGCCTCCTTCGTGCTTGCAGCACCAAGAACAGACTCCTTTTATCAAATGGCCAAAGTGGTCTTTCTAGTTATGCTATAACTGATTGCACAGTTCCCATAACCCACCCACCCCTGGAGCTTCTGTCACACACAGGAACAGGCTTCTGGAGTGCTTGCTGCAGCCTTGGAAAAACACGTAAGGAATGGAGTGGGAGAACCAGGTAAGGGTGGATAAAACAAGGTGGGGGGGGGGAAGAAACTGCTGAGCCAAATCCACAAGAGTCAGATTCACAAGGTGCATCTTGCAAGTGGAGACTGGGCGTCTCTTTCTCTTTTCACAAGACAGACTTGTCTGGCTCTGGACACAGAAGGCATAGAGGAGATGACAATTCATCTAAAAACTACCAAAGGGACACACAGCTACACAAGCAGGACTTGGAATCTAACTCCTACTCATGACAAGAGCACATGATCCATCTGACATTTTAGACTCTCACAGGCAGACTTGAGTCTTTAAATTTGTCCTGATTCATGTGACCATGGCTGTGTCAGGATTGAAGGTGGAGAGACAGGAAGAGAGGCTGGGTGATTTTTGACTCTCCATGGGAGGAAGGGAGAACGGTCATCTTATTCTTGGTGTATTTGATTCCTGTACCACCCTGGTTTAATTGCAGAAGTGTGTGCTTAAAGGAGGAAGCAAGGGGCTTGGGGACCAGAGGTCTCAACCCAGGCTAGGGGGAAGAGGTCTTGAGATAGGAAGAGCAATGTCTTAGAAGCAGAAAGGGTCCCCACCTGGGACTTTACTCAAGAGAAGATGAACTTGTCTGCTCCACAATCCCCAGCCAGAGTCCAGTTTTATGTTCTGGAGGGACATACAGGGCTGGGAGCTGAGGCCACAGCCCCATAGGCAGGGCCCATCAATATAGGTGCATGGAGAAAGTCCTTCTCTGAGAGGCCTTTGGCTTGAACTAGGGCCTGGGAGGAGCTGCCACTGGGTTTTCTTCTTTCAAGTCTGTGCTACTAGCTCTCTACAAGGGTCCCTGTCAGTTTTAACTTTTAATTTTAGTTAAAAATATTTTAATTGGTCTGGGGAGGGGGGTACCCTGGCCAAGCACAGGGAGGAGGTAGAAGGAGGTGTCAGAGGACAAAGTCTGTTGTCTCCCACTGAGCGGGTCCCAGGGATAGAATGTGGGTGCAGGTGCCTTTATGTGCTGAGGTGCACTGGGATTACAGGCTTGCATGGTTTATGTGGTGCTGGCGTTAGGCCCTAAAGCTTTGTGCACACTAGAAAAGTAAGTACCATCTACATTTCCAACAAAGGACCCTGTTACTTTTAAACTCAAAAAAGAAAACTTCACACTCCAGAAATAGCCCTTGGACCCCTGCCCAACCTACCTCCTAGGGACCAGAGAATTTGGAAACGCTCCCTGGGCAGATCCCAGGGATCGAAATCAGCTGAATCTTAGCCCTTTGGTTGCTAGCGACCTGCAGGAGGTACCAGGCTGTGTGATGATGGCCTTTGGGAGGGAGAGTGCGATGGGAGGTGGGCAGCTTCTCTAGTCAGCCTCCTGTCTGCTAGGCCCGACCAGGTGGAGGCGGGGGCGGAGCTTTTTTCCGGACCTGGGAGGGAGTGGCTGAAGCCAGGGAGATCATTTGGCAGCTAGACTGTCTGCAGTCACAAGCTCTGCTCTAGCCCTTCCCTGGTGGCCCTGGATGCGCTCTGGGACCGACCCCTGACTCTCCATAAGCAGCCAATTTTGGGAGCATCTCCCTGCTGCTGCAGGCAGCAAGCCCTTCTTCTGTCCCCCATAGGCCAGGTCACATGGGTCCCAGGGTCACCTGTCCTTGGAGGGACCGCTTCTCTGGCTTCCAGGTAAGGACCTGGATGGAGCCTCTGGTGGCCTTGACCCAGGTGGCTGGCTCCCTCTACGACGCAGGACTACTCCTGGTGGTGAAGGCATCCTTCGCTGAGGCTGGAGGCTCCTCCAATCACAGTGCCAACCCGTCGCTCGAGGAACCTCAGGAGGACCAAGAGCAGAAGGCTATCTCCAATTTCTACATCATCTACAACCTGGTGGTGGGCCTGACGCCCCTGCTGTCCGCCTATGTTCTGGGCTGGCTCAGCGACCGCTACCACCGCAAGATCTCCATCTGCATTGCGTTGGTGGGTTTCCTGCTGTCTCGCATCGGGCTGTTGCTCAAGGTGGTGCTGGACTGGCCGGTAGAGGTGATGTACGGGGCGGTGGCGCTCAACGGGCTGTGCGGGGGCTTCTCTGCCTACTGGTCCGGGGTCATGGCGCTGGGGTCTCTGGGCTGCACTGAAGGCTGCCGCTCCTTGCGCCTCATCCTCATCGATTTGATCCTGGGCTTGGCGGGATTCTGCGGGAGCATGGTCTCAGGCCATCTTTTCAGGCAGACGGTTGGGCACTCTGGACAAGGTCTCCTGCTTACCGCCTGCAGCGTGGGCTGTGCCGCTTTTGCTCTTTTCTACAGCCTCTTTGTACTGAAGGTACCCGAGTCTGTGGCCAAGCTCAACAAGGTGCAGCCCACCGTAGAGACCATGCCTGGCATGGTGGGCACCTATCGAACCCTGGATCCAGATCAGCTGGATAAGCAGAGTGTACCGGGCCCCCCTCTGATTCCTGGCAAAGGGAAGCCATCTCGAACCATCATTACCCTGCTCTTCGTGGGTGCTGTCATCTATGACCTGGCCGTGGTGGGCACAATGGACGTCATGTCCCTTTTTGTGCTGAGGGAGCCTCTCAAGTGGAACCAAATGCAGTTGGGCTATGGGATGGCTTCTGGATACATGATCTTCATCACCAGCTTCCTGGGAGTCCTGGTCTTCTCCAGATACTTCCAGGACACCACGATGATCATGATTGGGATGGTCTCCTTTGGGTCAGGAGCCCTCCTCTTGGCCTTTGTGAAAGAGACATACATGTTCTATATTGGTGAGTCTGGGACTTGGGGAGGCAGAGCACTGCACTGCTGGCACTCTTTGTCAGAGGGCTGATGCTAAGGGCTGCTGTGGCTCAGGAGCCCCGGCTCATATCTAAGAGGTGCAAGGGAGACAGATGGTTTCATCTGTATTGTGCTGTGTATTTCTTGTATGGCTGATTCAAGTCTTACCACAGTGGTACACAGTGTGCTAGGTGGTAAGGGAAATGTGGTCAGTGGAACTTAGAGTCAGTGGAAAAGACTTCAGGACAAACTTTGAGTAGAAATGGAGTTGAGGTTCTTCTTCCTAACTTTATTACACTTAAAGTTTTATTTATTTAGTGGGAATTAAAAGACAACTTGCCAGAGTTGGTCTCTCCTTCCACAATATGGGTTCTGGAACTCAAACTCAAATCCTCAGCCTTGGCAGCAAGCACCTCTGCAAAGCTATGTCCCCAGCTCTGTTCTCTCTAACTTTAAAGACACTAAACATAAAGTAATCCAGCCCGAAAGTTTCCTTAATCATTTAGAGCCAAGCAAGGGCTTTTAAACAATGCACAAAAATTCTCAATAAATTACTTCTACAACTAATCTAATAAATTCCCACAAGGCAGCATAGTGAAGTTTCTGTCAGAGGGTAGAGGTCAGGTAACCTCAGGCAGAAAGTTCTAAACTTGTGCTGCAGCAAAAGTTCTAGACGTGTGCTACAGCTGTGAAAAATGGCCTGCATCTGACAACACAGTAGCCTGTAGCCACACGTGGCTATTGAGCACTTAACACTTGCTAGTACAACTAAAGAATAGAACGTTAAAGCTTATTTCATTTTCATTAAAATAGGTACGGGTGCCTAATGGCTAACAGTGAAAAGAACAATTCTAAATGGTTATCAGGGGACTGTCCTTGACCCGATCACATACTTCAGAAAAACACCTCAGAAAAACTCCTTAGGTCCACCCCCCACCCTCTGAAAACAGAAAGCCATGCACAAAGGACAGAGTTCTCGGCTCTCCTGCCCTTCCCACCACATCTCTCCCTCTCCTCCTCCTCCTCCTCCTCCTCCT